CGCCCGGCCCAGCCCTCGCCCACCGCGGGGCGCCCACCTCCGGCCCGCTGCCCCCGGCGTTCCCGCGAGGCCCCGCCTTCCTTTCTGGCCGCCCCCAGTACTTTGTTTGGCGTCTCTGCCCCCCGCAGTAGTTTCCCGAGGTCCTAAAAGAGTTAGCGGAAGCCTGCACTTCGGTGGCGTTCAGACTGGTGGTTTTTTGACAACACCTGGGGGCCTGGAAGATACAGACTAGATAAAGGAAAAGAAAGCCGCGTTAGGAAACACATTTTGCAGCAAGTAAATGCCAGCATTGAGAAGTTGTGCAATGTTCTCGGGATTGTTAAATTTGAGATCGTTACCTCCCTAGCCGACCTGTCGCTAGGCCAGGAGGAGGTTTACAAACAGCTAAGTTTTGAGACCCTTTTTCCTTAATATGACGATCATGTCTTAATATTTAGGGATTTGGACAATCAAAAGCCTTTTGAATAATACAAAAAAAGAATCTAGGGACTTCAAGAGGTTTTTTTTAGAATTTGAGTTTTTGAGATACGTGTTTATCCCTAGCTATATGCTTTGACTGCCGAACTACCAAAAAGTCAATAACAGAAGTTTCCCCAAGAACTTGTTTGCTTTTCTCTTACTGTTAGATTTTATTGTATCCCCCACCCCAATTTGAAACTAACAGCAATTAGCATCAGTAGTTCAGATTTGATGATCCTTGAAAGTCTGAAATAGGGTCCTGAGGAGGCAAGGATTGTGTTCTGCATGTCTCTGAGGTTCAGTACAAGTTGATAATGAGGATATGTGGATTTGATTACCTTTGAGAATTCTTTGTAGATAAAATGTATTTTCTGATGCCTTCAGTTTCTGTAATCTGTGTTTTTATGTTGGGTTGTGTGTGTGTGTGTGTGTGTTGTTGTTTTTTTTTGAGACAGTCTAGCTGTGTAGTAGACTGGTGTTTAACTCACTGTATTGGCTAGTCTACCCTCGAACTCACTGAGATCCTCATGTCTCAGCCTCCTGAGTGCTGAGATTTCAGTGCTTCTAGTATCTTGTAGTATTTGAAGTATATTTAGGTTGTGCTAATACCACACAGCCCATTATTTGTAAAAGCTAAGCATACATGTGTGGTGGGGACATAAGTAAAATACTTTTGCCACTCCTGAAGGGTGGAAAATTATCTCTTTAGCAGTTTTTGAGGTAATGGCACACTACTTCAAGCTTAGAAAAACAAACCTGATGATAGGTTAGAAATAATCACAGGGGAAGAAAAAGACTATACTTCAAATGTAGTTACAGTTTTTTAGAAAAAAATCTGTTGAGAGCTTTATAATTACAGATTATGAGGAATGAAAAAAGTTTCAGAGGAATAGAAATCCTGCTGTTTTCTAGCCAAAAAAAACCCCAAAAGAGGTGGCTGTGGATGGCATTTCTTTAAGCTTTCTGCTTTAGAGGAAAGTGCTCCCACATGTTAGGAAATATTTATTAAGTTGTAATAGTGCCAAAGGTAATATGATTGAAGATGTACAGATTTTTAAAATAATGATAGCTACTATTCATTGTGTGCTCACTGTATGCTGAGCATTTTACTAAGCTCATTCTATTCAGGGGGGATGACAACAGGTCCTTACTGTTACACCATTCGGAACTCCACCCAGAGTATTTAAGAAACTTGCTGAGGGTCCCAGAGTTAGTAACAGAGAGACTGAAATTCAAACTCAAGTATAGAGTCCGATGCAACCACTTTGTCTCCTTGGACTTCATGGTCTAAAAGGTAAGAAAAAAAGTGTACAAATAATAAAAATACAAAACTATTAGGTTAAGAAGCCAGATCAAACTGGCTCATAGCTTATTCAGTTATTTAAAAAAAAAAAATCAAGAAAAGCTTCATGGAAAAAGCAATGCATTTTGACAGGCCAGAAAATGGAGTGAGCTATCAGCCTGGGTGCTTAAAGAAGTTTGCAATGGCATGGTGGAAAAAAAAAAAAAAAAACAACTTAAGTAAAACTTTGAATCACAGGTCTTTTAAAGTAACAGTATATCCCTGCATTTTGGATGGGTAATTGCTTTAGACCAAATGATACAATTTGATCAGTTTGAGACTAGAGCAGCAGTCTTCACATTTTTTGATCTGAGGTTAAAGTTTCTAAAAAGCCTAAAGAGGTTTTTAAAACTCTATTAGATTTGATATTATAACCAAGAACTTTTCAAAATAATTAAAGTAGCAGTAATAACACTCATTGACTATTAACATAAGTAACACATTTTCAAGAAATTAATAAATGTGGCTTTGTCTTACGTTTTTAGATCTCTTTACTGTTTTGCCTAACTGAAGAAAGGCAGGTGTTGATATCTCATTCTGCATTCAGTCACTTGTAATACCACACAACATGTATCCTCTGTGGTCCTCTACTGTACGCTCATGAAAGAATGAGAATGAAAATGGCAAATAACATTTTAGGGACCTCGCAGGTTCCCTAAAATAGTCCTAAAGCTTTCAGGCATGCCCAGACAATACTTTAAGAAACATTTCACCACTACAAGAAGCATTGCAGAACAAAGAACAATCAGATTCATATTTATTGGCCTGCTGATTTTTTTTTAAAAAAAAGAGAACATTTATGTAGGACTTAGGTCTTAAACCTTGTAGTTTGTGGCCTTTTCAAAATTTTTATTAATTCATTCACTCAACAAACATTTGAATAAGTATGTACTTACTCTCACTGTACTGAGATCTGCGAATACAAAAGAATAAATTTGTTCCTGACTTTGAGGAATTCAAACAGGCTGGAAAACACAAATGGAAATAAGCAAAAGTGATACAGTGCTAGCATTACAGTACATTACAGTAATGCAGGGTGCTGTGGGAACCCGGAGGAGCAAGACACGTGTTCATCTGGAAACCTTTACTTGCGTTGAGTTGTAAAGCTGGCGAAGGAGAAGAGGGCAGAGATCTAAAAGGAGATGTGCAAGAGGTTCCAAAACACTGGTTTTGATGGATCAAAGTGTATTTCACTATGGCTAAGTACATGGGAAGTGATAAAAAATTGCTTTGGACAAGTACTTAGAGAGCAAATTGTGAGAGGCCTTTCTTACTACACCATGGTACCTAATGTACGGAGTATCCTGTGTCTTGGTGCTTTTCAGACTTCATTACGAATAACAGTTGCTTAAGGAACTTAATAAAAATAGGAAATCCTTTCCCCCATATTCTGCTTTTTTGGATCTGGAGTACAGTTTAAGAATTCCTTAATTCATTTGGTAAATATTTGAGTTCTCCAAGTGTACCAATAAGAGTTTAACCGGGCTGGGGATTTAGCTCAGCGGCAAAAGCACCTGCCTGGCAAGTGCAAGGTCGTGAGTTCGTTTCCCGGTACCGGAGAAAAACCAAAAAAAAAAAAAAAAGAGTTTAACCAAAGAAGAAGCTATTAACAGCTCAGTTCAACAGCATTAATTCAGGATCTAAATAAACACTATGGTAAAGGGGTTAGAAAAGTAACAAAATTAGGAATCTTATTTGTGTTATGAAATCAGAATAGCAGTACTTGGAGATCTGTTGGAATGGGAACAATGTTATTTTGTTATTGAAATTTTTAACCTAGTAAAATATGTCCGTTGTAATTTTTTTTTTCTTTGAGACAGAGTTGCATTGTCTAGTTCAGGGTGGCCTTGAACTCATTATGTAGACCTACTAAGAGATGGTTTTAAAACAACTGAATTATGAAAACACTACAGGATATTTCACGTTACCAACAATTCTCTGAAAGGAAACCTCAGAACATTTTACTTTTGGGGGATATTTAACGTCTCATTACTCATAATAAAGTTATATTATTATAACTTTTTTTTACAAGGTCTTAAACCTTGTAAAAAGGTTAAGAAAAATTAACCTTTAAGAAAATTTAAAGATCATATAATCTCAGTCTTTAATTTTATGAATGAGGAATTTAGATCCAAAGAGAGCAAGGAACCTGCTCAAAAGTCACCAAACGAGTTTGTGCCAGAGCCATCAATTATCTCCTGTTGTCCAGGCCAGAATTCAGGCTGCCAGTCAAATGTACAGAGTCCTGAGCTGTATATGTTAACTCACCAATTTTCTACTTTCATTCTTACTTTCCTAGTGAGAAAATCTGACAAAATCAGAATTTGTGAATTTGGGGTATGCGAGCCTCGGTGAACTAGACCTTCTATGGGAACGTCAGTGTTAACAACAATCATAGATTTAGAATTTTTGCCTGATTTCATGTCTTAGTTTGTGAGGTACCACAAATTGAGTGGCTTAAGCCAGAGAAGTTTATTACCTTACAGTTTTGAAAGTTAGCAGTCCAAGACCAAGGTGACCACAGGTTTGTTCCTTCTACATGTTGCAAGGGATCTATACTGAGCCTTTGTCTTTGGTTTGTAAATGGTCGTTTATGTTCACATTGTCTTTCCTGTGCGTGTGTTTATCCCAGTTTTCTCTTCTTGTAAGGTCACTCACTAGTCATGTTGGTTGAGGACCTGCCCTAATGACCTCATTTTATAATTTAATTACTTCTGTAAAGATTCTGTCTCTGAAAAGGTCACATTCCAAGGTACTGGGGCATCAACGTGGGTCTGGGGTTGGGAGAGTGGGCCAGTTCAACCCATCACAACTCATTGCTTTTTTTAACTTCAGTTAGAATATACTACACTTATCCAACAAATATAGTACTTCCTAAAATAAATTACCCGTTTTACTGAGAATGTGACGGAAGAGGTAGACCTTTTCCTCAGGAAAACAAATATAGCAATCAAGTTTGCTATTACTCCACAAAAATTCTTAGTTACGTAAAGGGTGTCATTTCAGTGTTTCACTTTACAACATGTCTTCATGGATAATAATCATTTCATATCTAACTTTTAGCACTGTACTATCCAGACAAGATAAGCAACTTACGTGAACTAGTTGTGTCAGAGTTGCCTCTGACATAGGATCACGTTGTGAAATATAAGTCAGTTTCTTCATTCTGTTGGTATTGCGGCCCTGTCATCGGTTTACTTAGGAAGGACTATAGGAGATATAGCCATGAGGCCCCTTATATGAATTTTTTTTTATTTTTGAGCATGATTATAATACATTTATTTTTATGCAAGCATACCAACAATAGTATTTCATTTCTAACTTTAAACTATATAATTTTATTGAACTGTTATTTTTAAGAAATATATCATTTCATCTATATCATCTGTGTTAGTGAAAGTAAAGTATGTGCTTGTTTTGCAGTTCTTAGATGTCTGCCCCCCTCCTCTCTTATGACACACAGACCAAATCCACTTATTTGAATTCTGTGTCATTTTTAAGGTCTTTCTGATGATATTGTGGGCCACAGGCAGTTGGAGACAGGTGAGGGTTCATTACACCCCTGCAACCTTGCTGCCAGATTGTGAAGAAAACAAGTTTTGTCACGCATAAAAAAACCTGTCAAAGGTGAAATGGTAACACAACCTGTTCTATAAGCTCGCTGAATTCTGTCCTTATTTGGCACTGTGGCAAATGTGACAGTATTCAGCTGCAAAATTCTGGTGGCCATCCTCCAGTCATTGGAGTCATTTGAGTTTTAAAGCCTCAGGATTCCAGGCTGAGCCATTCATTCCTAAGGGGGAGGACTTGATCTATTCAGCTTCGTATTCGGGCTTGTATGAATATTACCTTAATGTTTTAGCTTGCCCAAAACTTTGAATGCGGCATATTTAATCTATGAGAGTTCGTTTCTGATATTCATTATATTAATATTTGGTGCTGATCAGAGATAAAAGTTACTTGAAGCACTTAAGCCTTAAAGTGTACCTTTTGTCAAATGCTAATAAACACCAGAGTATTTACATTCCTGCTGAGGACAACTGACTGTCCCCCACCTTGAGTATAGACCTAAATGTTACATTCACATCATACTGTGTCTGCTGGAGTGTGTTACATTACAGATGTGTGACACCACCTGTATTTATGCTGCGGTGTTACAATATGCCCTCTTCCTCCCCATTACAGTTAAGTTACTAGTTTTTAGCTAAGAAAAGCTCCATTTTCCTCAGAGATTTTTCTAACTCGTGGATGAATAGATGCCATCCTGATTCTTTCTTTCATTCTTCCTTTTGAAACTTTGGCCTATAATTTTAAAAAGTATTATGTAGTCGTATAAGATTACATTATGTGAATCAAACAAAATATATCTAGAAAATTCCTTTTGCTGAGCGTTTATAATATCTTTAGATAACTATTAAAGGCACTGTTAGACTTTCTAGATTTAATTCCTTTTGGCCTTTTCTGTGTTCATCATTTCCTCTGTCATTGGCTATTAAACTGCTAACCTTTCTCCCTTTAGTTCAGTCTTACACAGTTATTTAATATAGATTTTTACAAGTTGTAATTCTTAGATTTTCTCTAATATAAATCTTATAACTGGGTTAAAAAAAGATTAAAAGTACTGTTCGGAATTTTCAGTACTCTAATATTACTACTTTATTTTTAAAAAATTATTTTAGGAGTATATATCCTGGGGAAATATGGACAGAAGAAAATCAGAGAAATACAAGAAAGGGAGGCTGCAGAATACATTGCCCAAGCACGACGACAGTATCACTTTGAAAGTAACCAGAGGACTTGCAATATGACAGGTAAGATAAAGAAAACATTTATACATGTATGAAGTTGCTTATTTTTTGTTTGTTTTGAGGTACTAGGGATTGAATCCAGGGCCTTTACACTGAGCTACATCCCCAGCTTATTGTTTTATATTTATATTTTGAAACTTTCCCAGGCTAGGCTTGAACTTGTGATTGTTCTGCCTCAGGCTCTCAGACTGCTGGGAGTATAGGTATACCCCACCATACCTAGTAGAGTGGCTTGTTGATTTGTATTAATTTGTGTATTTCTGGAGTCAGAGACTCAGGTCTCTTTGAAGAGGAGACGTCAGAGAAGAAAGCAAACAGAACGATGGCGAGAGCTTTGCACAGTGCTTGAGATAAGAACAAGCATGGAACATTCAAGAAACTACTCAAAGTCATATAGCTTAAGAGGAATGAGCAGTGGATGAGGGGTAGGAACCGTGGCTGCAGGGTTAGGCCTGATCCCACAGGACCTCACAGTCATAAGTCACAAGTTTGTTACCTTTGCAGGGCTCAACTACAGACATACAAGTCTCGTACCATAGTGTGTGCTCAATTGGTGTTAACTAGGGTCATAGTTTAAACTCTGAAGCTAGAAACATACTGGAAGAATGAGTGTCCTAACAGAATCAACCTGCCCATATTTGAAGAGAACAAAGTGTTAGTTCTAACTGGCATAACCCCTTGAACAATGTTCTCTAATCTGTGAAAAATCTGTTCTTTTTTATTGTTTAGAGCTTAATCTCTCTAACATTTCTTTCAAGAACAATTAATTCAGAAAGAAATCAAAAAAGTAAATGATCCTTGTTTAACTTTAAAAGTAGAACTTTATTTCTGGAGCTGAAAGGACTTTCTTGTTAATTTACTTGCCTCGTTTTACAAATAAAGAAGCTGAGATCAAGAAGAGAGAGAGGCACACCCAAAGTTACAGCTTGAGTTGTGAATTGTCATATTTGTAATAATTCTCTGAGAAATGAATCCATTCTGTAAAGCACAGAATAACTGAAATACTGCTTTTAATGACAGCTCTGTTGAGGGACCGTAGGTAAAAAGTATGGGCTCAAAGGTGAGGCATATCTGGTCAAGCTTCCAGTTTGAATTATATCATCTGTGTGTCTTTGGACCAGTTTAAATCCCAATTTTCTCCTCTGTAAAATAAACATAAAAATCCCACGTGAGAAATGTTTTTGTTGCTCCACCCACAGCGCCCTCATCTCTGGGCTATTCAGATCATTTTCGTGGAGGACTGGTGTCTTGTATTCCACGACATTTCCCCTCCAGCACCGACACATTTTCTGGTGATCCCTAAGAAACACATTGCCCAGATTTCTGTAACAGAAGATGATGATGAAAGTTTTCTTGGACATTTAGTGATTGTTGACAAGAAATGTGCTGCTGACCTCACCTGAACAAGAGTTTTGGAATGGTGGTAAATGGAGGCGCAGATGGGGGACAGTCTGTGTATCATGTTCACCTCCATGTTCTTGGCAATCAGCAGATGCTTTGGCCACCCAGCTAAGCATGTGTTGGGGGTAATTTTCCCTTGTTTAGGCAGTGATGAAGTTTACAAATTCCATTATGTTAAACAGCACACTTACTTTTGCCTGTGTATAGAGTGATTGAAGAAATTATTATAAAAACCTATATGTAATAAAAGACATCATTGCATGGTTTAAAAAAATGTTTTGTGACAGTGTGATGAAATAATGACTGTGAAGTTCTTGGCACTTAGTAAATACTCAGTAAATCATAACTTTTAAAAATAACATAATTTAAACATTTAGCTACCAGGACATTTTAATGAACTTTGAGAGACCAAGAGTGATCACTTCAGGTTACTATTAAGATTTTCAGGAAATAGAAAAAGGTAGCTCCCAAGGTCTCAAAATGCATCTCAGTTTGATGTGGACCCTCCTGTGAGTGTGGCTCCTTCAGGAAGCACGTGAGGATAGGGTTAGATGTGGGAGATTTCTTACGTCTCTCTGGAGAAAGTGGGGAGAGAGCAGGCGTGAGCAAGGAAAACTTAACGGAGTTCACTGGTAGAGAAGTCCCCTCCTCAGCGCTCTGACTGGCTGAGAGCAGCGTAGACCTCGTAATGGATCTAGGGGGTGGCACCTGGGGCTGTTGGTTACCTATGCCATCCCAGCAGAAGGTGGGAGTAGCACATGCCCGTCACCATCCCAACCCTCAAATAAACAAATAGCTGACTACAGACAGTCAAAACTAATATATGGTGATCACCTGGAGGCAAAATACAGGTTTACTGAATAGCTTGGCAAACTAGCTTCTCTTATGCATTGATAATAGGACTATAGATAATAAAATTAAGTTTATTTCCCTTTAGATAAAAATTTATACTGGATACGACAGGAAAAATTGAGTACTTTTAGGTAAATATGACTACTTTTCTTACTCAAGAAGTTTACCCACCTTGAAAGATAGCAACTGCTGGCGTGCTTCTGTGCTTGGCCTTTGATTGTACCTTCTTCAGGGTTTTACCAGAGGTTTAAAGGGCTCCTTACTGAATTTATACATGAAATGATGTCATATGCATAACTAACAACACAAGTGAAGTTTCTCTCTACAAAATAGCCTTGACCCACTTAAGTGCTAGATTAAGTGCACAAATGAGTTTTTCTGCATTAAGGAGGCAAATGTACAGATAAAGAATTAGCTGAGTTGATTTGCAAGTAGGATGTGTGAATAAAAATTGGAAATTCTAGTTGAGCACAAACTTGTTATAAATAAAAGTCTGATGTGACTTCTAGACATAATCATTTACTCTTAGACTACAATAATAAAGCATGTGGTTCAGATCAGAGGGACACAGCATACTCTGCCAGTCAGAACACAGGGCCATTTCTGCCTCTCACACTCTAAGATGTTTGCAAATGTGAGTATGTCATAAGGAGGTAGACTGGATAATAAGAGCTAACATGTACTGAACATTTCTATGAGCCAAGAAGCATTGTTCTAAATGTTTTTTGTATCTCAGTCCTTATGACAGGCCTGCACAGTGTAGCAATCTTCTGTTTTCCATAATTTACCTATGATGAAACTGAGGCACATCAGTGTTAAGTAACTTTCTCAAGGTTACAGAGATCCAAGACAAGTATTTGTGTTTGAACGGGGGATACTCAGCATGAGACCAGACAGCTAAGATGCTGCATTTTTATGTTTACATAGAAGTGGGTGATGGGTTCTGGGACAGGTTCCTCGGTTCTTGTGTCGCAAACAAAGAATTGGACATGGCACATGACGGTAAGGAAAAAGCAGCAAAGCTTATTAAAGCAATAGTACATTCAGAGTGAGCAGGCTCGCACCTGTGAAAGGACAATGGCAGAGTGCTAGGGGGATGAGGTGTAGGAGTTCAGAATGTTGTGCCATTCTGGATGCCTCTCACTGGGGTCTTCCAGAGTGTGATTGACAGGGTGCTGAGTCACATCAGCTGTGTCTCTCGCCTATGTTTTCATCACCTTTCCCCATAATTCACTCGTTTTAATTGGATGTACGAGACGCAGTCCATACGCGTGAACCTACAGTGCGCTCCAGGTGAAGAAAGGTTCCTGCAGGTCATACCATCAGATCTGGTGCACACGTGTACATCCTGGCTTAGAATTTTGGAGTTTTTCAGGGCAGGCTCAGACCTCTTTGCTTCCCTTGTCTTTGCCTCCACTGTAGTAAGTCTTAAGATAAGGGCAGAGGAGTGTTGACTTAAACCACCCAATGGTAGCAGGTTCACTAACTCTATCACAGAAAAAGAATTTTCAGGATGAGTCAGAAAGAGGCACAAGGAGGGTTTATTAGGCGGAGACAGTGTAGTGCGCACTCAGGGGAGGAGTGTGGGTGTGCAGAGAAATGAGACACTTCACAGTTTGGGACTGAGTACGGTCATACTTTCCTTGACAGAGTGAAGCACTAGAGGAAAAAGCATTCCTACAAGGATACCAGCCAGTGTGCAGGCATGATATTGTTTTTCTTTTCCTTTTTTTAATAGATGATTTAAACATTCTCTGGACTCACTTAGCCTTTTGTTTACTCTCTTAATTAGGCTAATTTATGGCCTTCTAGTGATCTGGTAGGGAAGGAGTGTAAATCTGGCCAGGGCTGTTGACACTGGAACAGTCCTTACCTCAAGGCCTGGCCTGGCTCCTATACCTTACTTTCTTCATTGAGCCAATGTATCTCCTTTAACAATGGGCCTGGTAGAGAAGTGTAAATCTAGCCCAGAAATACTGGCATGGGCCTGTCAGGTGACTTCTGCTAAGTCCTGGAAGTTGCAGTCTGCCTGTATTAGTTGTGATTTCCTTGTCTCCTTTCTACCTATCTTTTCTGTCCTATCTCAGGGTGAGTGGAGGGGAACACTCGAGCAGCGCATGGGGGAAGTGGCCCCAGTTGTGCTATCTATATTAAAAGTATTTGTTCGGTGTTAATATGTAGAAGAGAATAGGTGTGTGTCTGGTTGAATAGGCTGATGTGGAAAGTTAGTAATCTCTTCTCTGTCAGAAGAATTATTAAAAAGATTCCTCTTAAATTATTTTACCACATAATCACATAATCTTTAAACTAGTTCCTTATTAACTGAGATTTCTGTGGGACTTTGGCCTTACCCATGTGCTTGCTTTCTCTTTCTCTGTAAAATGACATACAGTTGTCCCTCTATATCCATGAGGAACTCGTTCTAAAATCCAAGGATGTTCAGGTCTCATATGAAATGGTAAAATGTTTGCAGTAGCCTACACATGTCCTCTCATATACTTTACATAATCTGTAGATTACTTCTAATGCCTAATGCAGTGGGAATAGTTGTTACCCTTGTTACTGTGCAGGGAATGTTGAGAAGGAAACAGTCTGTACATGTGTAGTACAGACACATTTGTTTCAAATATTTTTAATCTGGAAAAACTAGCTGATACCAAGGGGCAACTGTATTGTGCTTGGACTAGATGATACGCCAAATATGCTAAAATATATGCTAACTTCTACATTAGTTCTGAGTTTCTAACTTC